CAGTTTGATCTGAAAACTTAGTGTGGTTGGTCCTTTATCTCTTTCCTTTCCCTACAGTTTCCCTATCATGATTTTTAATCATTGGTATGAAGGAAACTTTCTTTCATACTATACACGTTTAATTCCACATATACATATATACACACAGCATTTTACATATAGTTTCAGGGCTTCTGAGGACCCGAGACTCATCCTCTAAACTTAAACCCAGTTCAAATACCTGTGAAGCCTTGAGGCTGCATTAGACTGAATGAGTCACCCTCTTTCTATTTTGATAGCACTTACTTTATATCTCGTTTTTGTTACTATAATGACTGCACTTCTCTCTTCTGTACTAGATAGCAACTTCTCTCTTTCTTTCCCTTGAGTACCAAGCACACAGCACAGAACTGAGCCAATAGACTTTGTATTGAGGAATTGATTAAATAATTGAACGAATTGGATTGGACTGGAAAAGTCCGTGGGAGTATGGGCCATTTCTGTATTTAATGGCTACTCTATGCCCAGCTCCTAACACAGTGCCTGCCACGTAGAAGGGATTTTGTAAATATTAGTTGCTTCAACATTGGAATGGCTTTAGTTTTGTTCGTTGAAAGTGACAGGTGTATAGAGCTCTTATGAGACTTTGTAAACAAGTATGATGTATTTTATACCAACTTAATCTTTAGTGAAAAAATGTGAGTAGATATCCCTAACTATTCTAACCTTATGCTCAGTTAAACTCTTTGTACCCTTGTTGCCACTTTCCCCATCCATCCCGTAACTCACCCATTAACACATCTTATATTTTATGTAGTCATCTTATCATACAGCGTGAGCTCTCAACTCCATGTCGTCTGTCTTTGCTTCTCTCATTCGTAATTTTGATCATGCAACACAAACGTACTGAGCATTTACCATGTGCCAAGTATTTGGCAAACTGCGAGCCATGAAGTCCAGTACTCATTCCCTCCCCTCTTGCCCCCATCGGAGTAAGTTTTCTAGAGGAAGAGACAAACATGAAAAGAGATGATCATAATGCAGGTAGTCAAGTAAAGCACAGCATAGGAAATATAGTCAATAATATTGTAATAACTATGTATGATGCCAGGTGGGTACCAGAAATATCAGGGGGAACCCTTCGTAAAGTTTGGGTATATGATTGTCTAACCACTATGCTGTACGCCTGAAACTAATACAAATAGTATTTAATGGAAATCATAATTGAAAAAGATTTTTAAAAGAAAAATGTAATGAAAAGGTAGTTAAGTAATGGCACAGAGGGCGGAATGCTATGAGGGTTCAGGGAAGTTATTCACAACTTTCTCCTGTGCCTGGAGTGCGGCTCGCCCTGTCTCCCCTCCTAGTCAATAGCTGTTAATATTCTACTTATCCTCTAAGATAGAGCTCAGACTTTTCCTGTCCATGACGCTTTTCTGAATGTTTTCTGTTTGATCTTCCCCCACTCCCTGATCCTAATATGCCTTTCATAGTATTTGTTGCAATTCTCCATGAGACTGTATATAACTATAGGTTAGGAATTGTGTCCTTTCCATTTTTTGTGCCCTCGCATAGTTCTTGAATGGTGTGTGCAATGGGCGTAATTGTGCTTAGTCAAGACCCCCCCCCACACACACCCCCACCTCCCCACATGATGTATTTCCTCTTGCTCTTTACCTGTACGTCCTGGTAGGTTGCCATGACTACCATTATGAGGTTGAAAAGTTGCTCTCCTGTCTAACTTCTCTCCTTTGAATTCAGAATGAGGAACTGATGAATCAACTAAACGGATGATTTGTCTTCTAGTCAGACAAGTATTTGCTTCATAGTGGAAATCCACTTACTGTTAACCTATTTCTTGCATTTGGAAACACGTTTTTTTATTCTTTGGGTATCTAGATCTTTGTTCCTATGATTTTTTCTCTCTCTAGGTTCCAAATAAATGATTTTGAAATTATAAGAAGATTTTCAGGCTTTATTTTCAGGAACAGTTTATTATTTTAAAAATATTCTGTGTGTCTCAGGTGTATGTGTCGGAGAGTCTAGAGATGTATCTGCTTATAAGAAAAAGAGAGAGCTCATCACACATTGCAGGCCAAAGTTAGTGGTTCAACAATGGCCTGAAGGCACCCCCACCACAGACACGCATACTTAGAGTGTAAAATAGTTCCTTCATTTCCTCTTCTTGCATGCTATATAGGTATAGTAGCTTTGAAATGGATTTTTTTTTCTCTTTTGGTTATCCTAGCTAAGGGGGATAAATATTTGGTGACAAAAGGCGATTTGAATCTGGGTGGTGGACACACAGTGCAATTACAGATCATGTATCATCTAAATGTGCACCTGAAACCTACATGATACTATTAATCAACATCACCCCAATAAATTTAATAATAAATAAATAAAAATAAAACACTAGTTAACAACAATCTTTAATGGTCAGCCTTTTCTTAACAGCAGATTAAACCCCAAACTTTACCAGTGCTTTTGTGAAATGTTCCTCAATTTGAAATAGTTTTCTAAACGAAGCAGCTCAGTGAGAACCCTGTCCCTGGCCTACAGTTTTATCCAACTTTATGGAAAGGAGACAAAATCCCAAGGGAAAGCAGACTTACACCACCGACACACATGCCCTATGAATAACTAAGCATATCCAAACCAAATTTCAAATTCTCCCTCATGCGTTTGGAATAAGATCAAGAGAAAGGGGAGTCAGGAAGAAATCAACACACACTTATTTTTGTACCATTTTTCTTGCTATTAAAATGTGTCTAATTTCATTTTTCTGTTAATGAAAAGCACATGAGGGCTGACCATAATTTGTTCTGTGCTGTGTTCTCGGTGCCTAGAACATAGTTTATTGATTAATAATCAAGGGTGAATGAATGAATGATTGAAAATGTTTTGAATTTGAGTCAGAAGCACTCTTTATATTTGTTGTACCTATTATGAATCCTAAAATGATGTGTTTTCAATATTTTTACATTAATGATACTTGGAAAGTAAAAAAAAAAAAAAGTGCCTTTCAGTAAATTCTTAGGAAGTGCTGTTGACAAGTTCAGTGCTAATAGCCAACTTCTTATCCTGACAAGTATGCTTTTTCAGTTTACCACTAATTGCAGGAATCAGCCTCAGGTAACTGATAGAACCACATCACACTGTTAACACTGAAGCTGGCCTCAGGTATGGCACATGTGCAAAACCATGGTGTGGGGAAGGAGACAGTGTCAGTTGGGATTAAAACCTAGGGCCTCAAAACAGCTACATCTAGGTTCCAAATTCCAGCTCTTGCACTGCCTGGCTCTTTGACATCGGCACATATTTAACCTTTCTAGGCCTTTGTATCCTAATCTATAAAATGGGCATAGAGCATTCCAGACTTTCTAAGTTTGGAAGGAGGATCAGATGAGATAATGTGGTATGGGGAAGGTATGTCTCAGTCTAATTTTTTCAGCTTCAGCTAACTGCTGAGCAGAGGTCTTTATTCTTAGGTAAGAAGTTAAAGACCTCTTTCAGCTACCTGGAAAGCTGAGTTTTAGCTTTGCACTGTCATCTGGAATATCTCTTCATTTGTTCATCTCATTTTTTCCCCCACTTGTAAAACTGGAGCATATTTAGTTTGATCTGTCTACTTAACAGGGACTTAAGAACAGCTAAGCTAACACATGAGAGAAGAAAATAGCTTTGAACTGTTTAAATACAAGGTGTCACAAAACTCAAGTAGAGTTCTACAGATAGTCTAAACTCAAACCAAATCTGACATAAATTCATTATGAGTACAGGCCTTTGCGGCCTTATACTTTGTGATAACCTAAGAGTACTGAAATCTTTGGCTGATGTGACAAGTGTCTAGAAGCACTTTTACCAAAACAGGATAAATCGTATTTAGAAAATAACTGAGCATTATCATCTCCATGAATCAACTGTTTAGTGCTATTCTAAAAGACGTATTTCCTGTTACAAAGGATTACAAAATGTGCCACTTAGTGTAACTGTCATATTTCAAAACACATACTCCAGGAATTGAAGTAAGAAAACCTTAAGTATACGAGAATTAAAGTTAAATATGGGAATACAGGAACTTGAAAGTACAAGCCAGTAATAGACTCACAGAATTTTAAACATCTAAGGGAACTTAGAGATACCTAATCCTTTTTGTCATAGATGAATTATTGATTTTTACAAGAAAAACAAGCACACCATTTTTCTAAAAGTAAATGTTTAAATATGTTTGGTCACAGATGATTGTATCATCTTTTGCTTTAAAACAAAAAATATTTAACAATATAACCAGTCAGTAAGGCTGAGAGATTCAAACAGTATTCCAGTTATACTGAATGAGATATTTCAATCACAAAAATTTTAAAACATTAAAATGTGAGTTGGAGCAGAAATAAACTCAACTCTTGGTAAGCCTCATAATTTTTTTTTTTAATTTTTAGATTCTGGAGTCTGTAATATCCAATTTTAACACATAGGGTAAAGAGAAGAAAAATGCCAAAATGTTTGTACGTGACTGATATAGTGATTCAACAGAGTGATCAAGAATGCCAAAATCAGACATCTAAACTGAGGCTTAGTTTGTCAATCAGAGTGACTGGATTTTTGAATTTATAATAAACAGTGAAGAAATGTAGAAAAATGAAAAGTAATTGTGTGGTTTTTTTAAATAGCAGAGCAAGCAGTTGTTTAAGTTGCCTTAGTTGTTTTTTCAATACTTTAACCTTGTTTCACTGTTAACATGCGGTTCCTAGGATTCGAATACTGGATCCTGAGATAGGAAGTTGGTGCTCTTAAATTTATATCTCAATTCAGAACTTTAATTTCTTTTGCAGAAGAGATAATGGAAGTCATTGTGTTCACTCTTTGCAGAAATATCATCAGATACTCAAGCAAAATAGTTTTATAAAAGTTGCAGCCAGCATAGAGATTTGTATGTTTTATACAAAATTAGATGTGTGCATGCGCTTGTATATTTTCTGTATCTAAATAGAAAACATATTTTCTTTTACTCCTTTTAGGGCTGTCAAAAAATACAGGACTTTAGTAATGTGGTGCCTGAGGGAATAAACTTGAGTTTCCTCATAGCCTTGGTTTCTAATAATGGAGATTACACGTGCGTTGTTACATACCCAGAAAATGGGCGTACATTTCATCTCACCAGGACTCTGACTGTAAAGGTGGTAGGTAAGCATGATTTGTATTATGTGCACATGGTAAAAATGCAATAATCTTGTTTTGTCTGTTAATAGTTTATTACAAACAAGTGTGTAAAATCTGTAAGAAAAAAGGCCTATGTTTTCTGTTTATTGCACTATCCCCAGAGCCTCTGGCATTTCCATGTGCGTAGTGGGCATTCAGTAACTATTAGTCAGTTGCATGAATGTGTGAGTAAGAGAAGCAAAGGCAGTTTGAGCAGTAAAAGAAGTGCCAGGCAGATCTGTGTTCAAATTATACTACCGCTATTCATGAGCAACGTGATTTTGGTCAAAGACTCAGTCTCCTTATCTGTCTGTACTCTGAGACTTAGACTACCTAACATCCAGGATAGCTGAGAATATTAGAAATAATGTCCATATTATGCTAATGTAGTTCAAGGTAAGCAGTAGAGACTCAATGAATAGTAGTTAATATTATTGTCCAAAATGTGTTTTAATTGAATTATGTGAACTATGTATTTCTATGTACTGCTATTGTAGTTAATGCTCAAAGTTTTGCTGGAAGTGTTCAACCACTGGTTTGCATTGAGGGAAAAGGGGATGAGAAACTGGGGAAGTAGAAAGGACCATGTCTAGACAGATTCAACAGAGTCCTATGAAACCCACAACCAAGAGAACCAGTGTCAGGAATGTGGTATTTGGAGGAGAACTCTAAGTACCACTGTGCCCAGTGTGTTAAAATAAGAGCATAGCAGAATGAGATGTTTTCAGACCCCATCTTTTTTTATCTCTCTTTTTCAAGAAAAAGGCAATTTGTTATCATCTTTAAAAAATATCTGTAAGTCATTGATATAAAGTAGTTGCACAATTTTTTTAAATTGAAATTTCATATTTTAATGGATGGAAAGATTGAGGCCCAACAACAGAAAGTAACCTGTTTAGTTAGAGACATTCAATGCCTTAGTAGAAGTTATTCTAAATCCCAGGTTTCTGACTTTTTGTTCAAAGCTTTTTCTACCAGTCTGACACCAGATTCAGCATATGTATTTCTTCAAAAAAGGCTTCAACATAGTGCAAATAAAATTCAAAGCAAACACTCTTGTAATCACTTTGCCTCTTTTTCTGCTTACTTCCTGAATGGTACTGAGTTAGGGACTAATTCAGAAGAAAAATCAGACTAAATTTAGAACCTAACATGGACTTTAAACGTCAAATGAATAGCCTGGCCGGGTGTGGCTCAGTGGTCGAGCATCCAGCTAGGATCCTGGAGATCAAGGTTCAATTCCCAGTCAGGGCACATGCCTGGGTTGTGGGCTCGATCCCCAGTTGGGGGGTGTGCAGGAGGCAGCCGATCAATGACGACTCTCTCATCACTAATGTTTCTGTCTCTCTCTCTCCCTCTTCCTTCCTCTCTCTGAAATCAATAAAGATATATTTTAAAAAAGTCAAATGAATAATATAATCTTATAGTCATCTTGGCAGTTGTTCCTAATATATATATATTTACATTCAGTGGGTGCTTTAATATGCATCACTTAATTTAATCAATGGGGGGAAGGGAGACATCTATAATACTTTCAACAATAAAGATAAATTTTAAAAAATAATTCTTATAATGAAATCTGTGAGATTAATTTAATTACTCTCATTTTAGAGTTGAAGAAAATTAGCTTTTCAAAGATTTAGTAAAAATAAGCCATATGGTTAATATATGGCCAAGTTGGGAGTAGAATACCTGGTCATTAAATCATTGAAGCCCCTACTCTTAAATAATACAATATAAAGCTTCTTCAGGATATTTTTCATTCAATTTAGGAACACAGAATGTTACAAAGAGCATTAATCCTATGAATGAACCTCCAACTGATTACTAGACATCAGGTACAACTAGGTGCTGGACTAGCAATTGTGATTTTGAATTTTCCGTTTACTTAGTCATTCGTTTCATTCATATTTGACTAGGTCTTATACTTGACACTCTGGGAATGTTGAAGAGAAATATGTAGAAAAGAAACAACTGAGCAAGGCAGGAGGGCAATTAATTATGATACAGTATAAAAAGGTTTTCTTATATAAGCTTTGGAAAGTGAAAATACAGGTTAAACATTCTATTCTGAAATTCAATGGATAATGAACATATTATGTTTGTCTCTTTGCTTGCTTTATATGACTGAAATGTTATAATTGATTATATATTAGACTGTGGGCCTCTTCGAGAACTGACAAACTATGCCAGGAAGTTGGGCAAGGCTTCACAGAAGAGAAGATTTTTGAAATGGGTTAAAAGAGATAAAGAATCCATGACTTAACATCATCTCCCTTTCTTCTTTACTATCTCACAGGCTCTCCAAAATATGCATTGCCTCCGCAGATCCATTCACCCAATGATCTTGTGGTCTATGAAAAAGAACCAGGTAATTATAGCTGTGCCTCTGATTCTCTTAATTATAAGGAATAGAATGCCACAGAAGTTAACAAAAGAGAATAGAGGGCTATTGTAAAAAAACCCACATGAATTGAAACTGATGTTGTCAGAAACCAAGACAGCTCTGGGCTTTAGCTACCTCCTGGATCTTGTGAGGAGCTTAGGGATTCTCTGCTTCTCTCTCAGCATCTGCTGCTCCCTTCTTCCTCTGTGGGCTGGTTTCCTCTCCTGACCATTGATTTCACTTTGATGCAAACTGTAGCCTACACAGGGGTCTGTTTTGTCAAGCCTGTGACATGAGCACAAGGCATCCTTCAAGCTTCTGTTCCACTACAGAGGGGCAGGGTTGGAGCTTAGAGTCAGGACTATGAATACAATAGGTGACAACTGATACAACCAATACACCCTGATTCAGAACACCATGAAATGTCTGCTATGGCTGCCTGGGTCTCTTTTTAGTTTTCATAATTTTTCACTCAAGGGAAAAATCACTTGTAACTGACCAAATAAGGTATAATTTATTCTTTTGACTCATAACCTCCCACAGTTAAGCTGAAGACTGTAGAAAATTTTAACATCTTCTCTATTGTGTCTTTTACAAAAAATTCACAGCAAACCCAATAAGAGCTATGAAAGGACACTTGTTTAAAATGTACTAAAGTTAATAGAGGCAGTGATCCACAAAGGTAGAGAACAATACCCTCCAAATTAAGATAGGACTTCACATAGTGACCTGCCTTATAAAAATACAAAGAATACACTAAAGGGTCTGCCAACTCCAAGTGGACCAAATTTCCTTGAATGAGTAGTAGCTTTATATAGTAATATAAACACACTATCAGGGTAAACACCTATTAATCATCTAGATATGTTTCATCTACTTATCACATTACAGTTACAAAAGCATGCCTGAATCTGTGGTCACTTTACCTTCCTACGTATTGATATAGAAAACTGGAGGGGAAGGGATAAGAACCACGCATTGGAAGAAGGGGCGGAATATGAGCCCTAAGGGAGACAAACCTGAGTTCAAATTAGGATGACAGTATAATTTATCATCTGAACCTGGACACCTTTTGAGAGTGAAAGCAGTCAATATTAATAACTAGGAAAGCGAGCATGAAACAGAACTGTCCTGGGCAACCTGGAATATAGAGGGTCATTCTAGGTCAAATCCCAAAATGCTACTTATTAACAATTTGATCTAAGGATGTCATTTTACATCTTTAAGCTTCAGTTCTCACATCTGTGAAACCTGAATTTAAAAAATGCCTCATAGTATTTTGTTAAAATTAAAGGAGGATATTAATACTTAAAAATATTTAACACTGTAAATGATATAAAATTTTTAGTGAGTGTGCTGTTGTTGTTATTATTGTTGTTGCTACAATTTTCTGCCTAGAAATCCCAACCTCATAGTCCATCTCTGAAGGATAATGTGGAATTTCTATGTGTACATTGTCTTCAGGCTTGCTGACTGCGCCCTGATAACTGGAGCAGTCCCAGATGGGGCCTGTCCAGCCAGTCCTCTCCGCAAGGGCACTGTCCCATTTCCTCTGGGCTGAGCACCAACAACCTAGAGAACCTTTTCTTACCTCACCCTTTGTGTCTCAGGGAAATAACAAAGAAGAGTAGTCCATGGAGGGTTAGGGCTAAAACGGATGTTGTCAGAGCCTTTTTGAACAAATACTGACGTTTTAAAACATACATAGATTGTATTAAAAGATGACCAATCTCGTAATTTTATATAAAGCTGCTGTGCTTCTTTCCTTGGTTTGTCTGGTTTGCAGTGAAGTATGGTACCTTACCCTATGGCAGCCCACTAGGAAATTAGTGAGAAGTAGGATTAGTGTGAAGTAGATACCTGTAACATTGATAGCTTCTGATTAGCCACAGGGTAGAACCAATATAGCCGTGAGAAGGTTACAATTTAATGGGTTAACTTGTTTTTTTGTTTGTTTGTTCATTTGCTTTTAGGAGAGGAGCTGCTCATTCCCTGTAAAGTCTTTTTTACTTTCCTGAAGGACTCTCGCAATGAGGTTTGGTGGACCATTGATGGAAAAAAGCCAGACGACACCACTATTGACGTAACTGTTAATGAAAGGTATCATTGGTGCGACTAATCCTGTCTCTTAATCTAATGGATTCTGATGTGACCTAATCAATGAAAAGAAACATTCTAATTTTTGCCTCTCATTAACAAAAATCAGCAAGATTTTCAAGTCATTAGTGGCTGCATCCCAAATCAGGATTCCTTGACTTGCAATTGGAGGCCCAGATGCCATCTGAAGATCACACATTTATTACACCTGATTGAAAGTAGATGGTGCATATCCTCCATGAATGAAAAGGCCGCTATGTGTGGTTATGGAGAGATAAAATCCTGTTAGTGTGGCCCTGTACTTCTCTTTCTCAAGTCTGGAGTCTGGGCCTATAAGTATTTGTGCCTCTAATAATTGTGTTCATTTCTTGTCTTGCAGTAAGCATGTATTTCTCTTTCCCCTTGTCTTTCTTAATTCACATAACATATATGTCACTTTTATAATTGATAATGATTTTTTTTTTCATATTGACTAAATACATTCATGTTCTCTAGATTTTATTTTTAAAGTGGATTGGGTGGTAATATGTACCTCAATCTTAAAATAACAAGCTGGATCACTTTATTGCAAAATAAACATGACTTTTTTTTAAAGGGGGTTAGGTTGGCAAGGAGGAAAATATGGGTCTTTGAAGACAAAGGATTATTCTTCCATTAGCAAAGCATGAAACTGCAAGAGAGTAATTGTTTTACTGCAACAATGAATAAAAATTAGCAGCTGACCAACTACATGACAAAGTAGTTCTAAGACCCTAAGCCTTATTACCAATGTGTAATAAGCTACTAAAATTTCTAGAATTCAAAAGGTATTTCTTTCTTAGTAGTAAACTCAGACTTTGTGCAGATATTATAAAAAATTTTTTTGCATCAGGTACTATTCCAGGTACTTAGAACCTGAGTATCTTTTATAGGAGTAGCCATGATAGGGCAGAAATTTCTATACTCTAATCTGATACGTGTATTGCATGTTATGGGAAGATTGTGTTGGAGATTCCAGCAGTTTTAGGGGGTTGGGTAATGCTTCTCAGGTCTCACAGAACCTAAATAAAGATTTGAAAAATGAGTAGAAAGAAACTAGGTAAAGGAATCAGAAGAATGTTCCTGCTAAAAGGAACATGAGTACAAAGGCCTGGAGGTGAGAGAAGCAGAACATACTTATAGGTACAGAGGGAGCTTGCTGAGACTAGAGAGTTTTCGCAGAAGGAATTGATGAAGGATGTGGCTGGAGGTGCAGAGGGAGAATTATTGATCATTTCAGGAATTCTGAGGATGGTGCTCCCTATTGTCATAATGATAATGACTGAATAATAATGAAAGTCATGGTGTTCCTCCTTGCGGCTATTAAAACACACTCACGGTTTGCAGTTGAGTGGTGCCAGTTAAATTTAGGCTAAACCTGCCACAATTTTAACTGTGTTGCTATGGCTGACAGTAAACGTTATCAGAAGGAGAACCTGGATATCAGTCAGCTGTAACAGATATATATATTTTTTTTCCTTTTTGAGCAAAGTAATTCAAAGGGATTTTAAATCTTGATTTTGGAGCCAAAGCACTTGATCTCTGATTTGTTGAGATTTAAATGTTTATTTTCACAAAGTTTACTTATCTTAGAAGTTTCTTCTTTTTATGTGCTAGAATTTAACCATGAGATTTCAGCATTTTGACTGAAATAGTCTACTGGCATTCAAAATCAAAGCTTTGGGAATCCCTGAAATTCATCAACTACAGTGGTACCTTGGTTTTCAAATGTAATCCGTTCCAGAAGAACGTTCGAGTTCTGAAATGTTCGAAAACCGACGGTTTGACAGCCGACAGCTAGGCCTCAGGATCTTGCATCCAGCGGAAGCCACGTGGCATGTTAGACTTCCAAAGTGTGTTCAAAAACCAAAGCATTTACTTCCAGGTTTATTGCGTTCGTAAACCAGAATGCTCATCAACGGAGACGTTCGAAAACCGAGGCACCCCTGTGTTACTGAGGGATCATAATAGCCTGTACAAATAATATGAATATTTATTAAGTATTTTTCTAATACTTACATATTAACATACTCAAACCTCAGAATTCTTGAGTCAATTAATACATGTAACACTGTGTGGGCATTGCCACTTTCCTCTTTTTCAAATGAGGGTCTCAAGACATGGAAAGATCAGTTACTGTGCCGAAAGATTACAGCCAGTAAGTGACAAAGCCTGGATCAAAACCCAAATGGGTCTGGCCTCAGAGCTTTCTCTCTAAACCAATCTAGCATCCTGCCCCAGAAGTCTGAGGGAGGGCGACGTTTTGCTTTGAAGAACGAGAGATCTATTTCTGTAGTCTGATGCCAGCACTGGGATTTGATGGTAAGGAACAGTATTGGAAGCTCAAAGCTATTCTTTTGAAACCGTTGGATTACACAGCAACACCATTTATCGCCATTCTCTCTGCCCTCACCTAGGGGCTCTCTGGTTGTCTGATTCACACACAGCACCTGGCCCTTGAGTCTCAATAATGCTCTCATTTCTTTCCCCTATTTCTAGTGTGAGTCAGTCTAAATTAGAAGATGAAACAAGAACTCAGATTCTGAGCATCAAGAAGGTGACTGCTGAAGATCTCAAGCGCAACTACGTCTGCCACGCTAGAAATGCCAAAGGGGAGGTTCAGCAGCCTGCCAAGGTGAAGCAGAAAGGTAATGGATGCACGTGCTCGCGGCCGAACCTGCGAAGGCAGCGTAACGTGCTGACCAAGGGAAACAGGAGAAGCTGGTCCGGGCTCTGGCGCTCGCCACACCACCTGCCACGCAGTCATGGTCAAAGCTGAATCAGGAATCTTGAGGGAAAGCCTCCATCTATGCAAATATACTCAAGATAGTTTTAGTAATTAGTGTCTAAAGGTGGCTAAAATAATCCATGATTATGATAACGGGGCATACTTTCCTATCTATATAGTTATGAAAATGAAAAAATAAAGAAAATATTTAAAGCTACCAAAGATATAATAAAACAGAGTCACATATTGTTAGTGAATTGTAAAGACCCTTTTAGGAGACATTGATGGCAGAGTTCAGGAGTCATAGAAATGATCATACCATATGACTTAATATTTCTGGAATTTTTCATGAATAAATAACAGAAAGAGAATTATGTTCCATCAATATTCTTAGCATTATCTAGAATAATGAAACATAACTAACAACCATCTAATTTATGCAAGGAAAGTGAAATATAAAATATTCTCAAAAATATAATTTTAAAATGATCGTTTTAAAACCTATGTATCAGTATTCAAGCAAGTCTATAATATACCATTAGCCACAATTGCTAAAACAAAAATTACTTAAACTGTGACTTAAAATGATGTACAATGATTTCTATGTTGATATTACTATATTTTTCTACAATAAATGAAAATTATGAGGCTTTTTTGTGTGAGCTGTTGCTCCGGAAACAGACCGTGTCTAAAATTACTTTTGCTTCACTCAAAATACTGGACAATTAATCTCTTCAAAAATGCTTTTCAATAATCTGGAGAAATATAATGATGATTTATCGCACATGCAGCTAAGTCATTCTGAATTACTTCCGATCCCTGTGTCAGATCATGCCAATAATATTTATATCAAAAGTTTTTAAAAGTTAATTCATAATTATTACATTTTTCAATGGCATTTAAACCTTTTTAAAAGCTGGTGAAAAAACAGGCTTCACCTTAACATTTTTATTACAATTTAGAAAGTAAAGAGCAAAGGCCAAAACTGTGTATGCCTCTAAGAAGTCTTAGTAGATTGGTTCTGGGGAGTTAATTGCCTCTGTTCCTCAGAAGTCAATGTAAAGGGAAAATACTCAACCACATGTTATAAAACAGTGTTTCCCAAAATTTCTTCCTCAGAACACTCCTAAGACTCTAGACACAGATGGCCTGTTGTTCAAATCCTGGTTTTTATGCAACCCAACACTGTGACCTTGGAAGAGACATTTCACCTCTCTGAGCTTCAATTTCCTTATAGGTAAAGTAGGGAAACTAATAGCACTACCTCATAAGGTTGTTTTAAAGTACTCAGCACAGTTACTGGCATATATACATCTATAGCAAATGTGTAATAAATATTAGCTCTTCCTATGATTATTTCCACAAGATTTTCATAGGTGTTATTTGACAAAGGTTTGTATGGTCAAGTCAGTACCATTAAAGTCTAGATTAACCAAAAGCAATCAAATTACTTAAGTTCAGAGCCCCTTAGCATCTTTAGCATACTAATATTTGGTCCAAATACCTGCAGGGTGTTGGAATAGAATAGGCAGGATTTTTTCAAATATATTTGACTCCAGATTCCCTAAGTATGGAACATTTTGTGGGACTTGTCTTCAGAAGCACGTGTTTTGGGAAACAATTATGGAGGCTGACATAAATTAATAACTTATTGTCAGGTGGATAAGGTCAATGCAATCAATTAAAATAATGTTGAATCTAGGAGTGATGCAGAAGTCTATCCACCAGAGCTAGCTGAGTAGCTGCTCTTCCGCAGAAGGCTGTGCTCTATCTAGATGTTTAGTATGAATGGCAATAGGAATGTGAAATGACAAGTGTATCCACTATGACAGATTTTCTGTTATTCACTGATTTTTCAAAATTATATTATGATGTCCTTTGAGGTGTTTTTATTTGTATGTATCTTATTTAGGGTTCTTTAAATTTTTTGGTTTGGTGAATTATTTTTTTTAATTTAATTTGAAAAAAAATTTAGCTGTTATTTCTTTTTTAATGTATTTTAATTTATTTATTTTCCATCATCATTTATTCCCCAATACCCTCTTCAACTTCCACCCACCCCCCACCCCCACCTCTGCAATCAGGTTGGCCAGGTGGCTCAGTTGGCCGGTGCATCATCCCCTACACCAAAAAAGTTTTAGGTTTGGTTCCTGGTCAGGGCACATACCCAGGATTCAGGGTGGATCCTGGGCCAGAGTGCATAAGGGAGGCAACTGATTGATGTTTCTCTCTCACATAAATGTTTTCCTCTCTGTCTCTCTCTCTCCCCCTTCCTCCCTTTCTAAAATCAATAAACATATCCCCGGGTGAGGCTAAAAAGATCAACAAGCAATATATGTAATACTCTATTTATATTTACTTACTTATGTAGAAAAGCAATTTATTTTATTATAAGCAGTTATACAGTTAGTCATAGAGAATAACAGGCCTGCTGGTGAAACAGGTCGCGCAAAACAGAGATAGCATCAAACTAGTGGTCAAGCACTAACTCTTGTGAAAACATACATCTTTACAACTTGGTGGCCCCGAGTTTTTTTAAAAAACAATTTCACAGAAAGGAAAGAAATAATATGAGAACAGCTCAAGAAAAACACTAACAAGGAAACATATAAGGGGAAAGAAGAACATGTGGTTCTGACTTAAGAACTGAGAGGAGACTGGTCTACACAGGAAAATGTGCATCCTGGAAAGTCGGGTGTGAAGATTTTAGAGTAGTTTATATGACTTGAATCTACCCAAATTTCTGAATAAAAGTGATATCTTGCAGTACTTATACTTCATGGCTCAGACACCTACCTCACTTGGCTCCATTCTTTACTTACTTCTAGCTTTTACTTAAGTGAGTCTGGAAAACAGGGATATAGCATAAGAAGAAAAATAAAATATTCCCTTTTCAGTGGCTACTTTAGATCTTTGTTACTAGAAAATTCCTAAAGAAAATTTAAATATAAGTCTGTCACTTTTCTGAATCAAGTCCTTCAGGTTAATATTTCGAGAACACCTTTGGTTTGGCCCTGGCTGAGTAGCTCCATTGGTTAGAGCATTGGCCCCATATGCCAGGGTTGAGGGTTCGATCCCTGGTCAAGGCACATACAAGAAGCAACCAATGAGTACAAAAATAAGTGGAACAACAAATCAATGTTTCTCTCTCTCTCTCCTTTCCTCTCTAAAATCAATAAATAAAATTTAAAAAAAGAAAATGTCTTTGGTTTGGGCTAATACAGTAGTATTGTTGGTGGTACCTACTACAGAGGAATAGCTGAACAAAAGCAAAAGTCTATGTGTTTCAAAACCAGTGTTTAATCTCAGGGTTGAGAGGGAAAAAAGGGGAGTCTAAAATTATAAGAAGTACAGAAGTATGTAAGACCCATATCCTGGATCCATGCTTCCTTCGGGGTCTTCATCATTATAAGAGTTCTCTGCTATTTGCTGCACTTGCATGATACTGTCTTTTGACACAGAACAGATCACCCAAGGTTGCAATTCCAGGAGACATCAGATATCTTGACAGTGTGACCACCATGAATAAACACCAACTCCAGAGGCCCATCTTCTGCATCCCCCGGGGATTGTTCCGCTCCAATTTTACTTACATCCCAGACATTCAATCTGTGATCAGAACCTCTGGAAGCCAAAATAGTCTCTCTGAAGAGACCACTGAACCTGGAATATTTCATCCTTATGTGATTCAAAGGAAGGCAGTTTAAGTTTTAGATTTCTCAGATCCGACAAGGCAACAGTCTTATCAACTGACCCTGTGTCAAGAATGAACTCACTGTGAGAATTGAAAGAAAGGCAATTCACTTCAGCAGTGTGAGCATCAACTGAGTGGCTTGGTTTGAAAGTATTGTTTGAACAAGTAAGTTTCTAATTATCAGCAACTGACCCAAACAGAGACTTCACGAAGCAGGTACCAGGAAACAACTACTGCTGTATGCCCTGTAAAGATGGTCTTCACATCTACAACTTTTCCTTCCTTTGGTTCAGAACTGAAAGGCAGATGGCGTGGTCATCTGAAGCACTAAGTAAGTGCCCACTGAGATTTGGGTTTCAAGAAAGCCCATAGCCTTCCTTCTGATGTCCATGGAGAGACATGTCTGGGTTGCACTCTCCAGAAGGATGTGGTTTAGAAGGATGTTTTATATAGTCAAAAACAAAAATATCACTGGATGGAGTCTTTGTTGCAATGATGCAAGGGTCCTGGGGCATATAACTTGCCCTTTTACTTCGCCTTCATGGTCAATCTTGATTTCTATTTCTATCTTTTTCACTAACAGAGCCAAAATCTCCTAATTCTTCTTTATCACTGTTGTAGTGTGAAGCCTCAAACTGAGCACTGTTATTAGGGAGCTGCACACTGGCTATCACAAGATGGTTTGGTTCATCCAAAGTGTGTGTCCCCAGGACAAGTCAATGAATGCTGAAATCTTTCCCTTCTGATCTGGTTATATCTGAAAGCCTCTGCACAGTTAGGCTGGGCCATTCCACACATGGGTCATCACCAAACTGTAAAGAAAAGGGGTGGTTTTTCCCCACATTTTGTACATTTCATTGATCACATGTTCTTCCACTGTGTCATCAAAGGCTATTTCCTTATTGGCCATGGCATTCAGGCAAGCCAGAGGGACCCCAGGGCCTAGTGTTGTAGGAGGGACATGGAGGCTGCATCAGAGTAAAATCTTTATGCCAAACAAAAGCATCAGACATTCCAGCTGGGCAGATAGAAACTGTGGGCTGAGGGTCACCCTGTCCCTGTAAGCCAGCAAAGCTTTATATGGAAGCTTTTTTAGAACACTTTCTGCATGTGATTTAAGCCACTTACTAATTTAGAATTGTGGATTATTTATCTTAAGAGTTCATTTAGTTAAATAGCATTAGGAACTTCCTGATATCATCAAATGGCCCCACAAAATACAATCTGTAGGTATAACACATGTAATTGTATAACACAAAACACAATTAAAATGCCCCACTGGAAATAAAATAGGCAGTAATAAAAGGAACATGGCAGAGGGAAATTTATGAGGGTAGTTGACCTCTTGATCATTAAGCAAGATATCTATTGACCTTTAAGCTTTTTTATGTATTGATTGATTTGAGAGAGAGATAAACATCGATTTGTTGTTTCACTTATTTATGCATTCATTAGTTGATTCTTGTATGTGCCCTGACCTGGGATCAAACCTGCAACCTTGACATATCAGGATGACGCTCTAATCAACTGAGCTACCTGGCCAAAGCCGATATCTATTGATATTTTAAAAATCCATTTCCGGTAAGTGTGTCCACTGACCTCTTTTTCCTCCCTATTATAAAATGTGTACCCAGAGGGAGCCAAAATAACTGAGCAAATAATGAAGATGACAGTGGGAATTACCCCAGTGTGCTGTTAACGTAACATGTACTCAGAAATACCAAGGACACAGCAATTTTCATGCCAGCTACCTAAATTGAACTTAGTAAATTCTCCACAACTGCACTGGCATAGTGTCTGGCAGTTATGATGGAGTTTTCTTATCCTAAAGCACCATTATTCATGGAACAAGTACAAAGGTACTAGATAATAATTCTGCACTGCTGAATCCCTGGCTCTATCTGCAGCAGGATTAGTATCCTGAGTTTAGGATAATGAACTCAAAACTATGATTTGCCCTTTAATTAGAGAACTTCAGGCTGAACTCCAGGTTGCTTACCATTTCCCCTTAGGATAAATACCCATTTTAAAAGGGAATTTTTGGGTTGTGCATATATGGACAATGGTGGGGAGAGGGACTGGAGAGGGGGATGGGACGGAGTGGAACAGGTCATTGGGGAGAAAAAGGGACATCTGTAATATTTTAAAAATAAAATTCAAAAAGAAAAAAAAAAAATAACACACTAAAAAAATAAAAAATAAATAAAAAGGGCATTTTTCACTACTATATGACCAATAATTGAACTTCACAGTAGTGTGCAAATATCTCTGGAATTTGGAGTCAGGTAGCCCCAGTAATTCCAGCTGTAAACAAAATTCTACTATACCTTGTCTCAGCAAACACCACTTACAATATTCAGATGCTCAAAGATTCCTAATCTCAAGAACCAACCCCACCCCCCAGTCACCTCTATCACATTACCCTGGCTTATTTCCTTCATAGCACTAATAACAATCTAAAATCAACTGTCCTATTTATTTACTTACTTATTTTCCTGCATTAGAATATTTTACCTTAGAGGGCAGAGACCCTTTCTTTCTTATCTACCATTGTAATGCCAACAGCTCTAGCAAATACAAGTCAACAAGGGATTGTCAAATCAACTAATACGTAAGTTGATACATTTCTGCTTCTGATCCAGTAGGTATTCTGATCCTTCTTCAAACTTTTAAGCTTCATTATCACAAGCTAATAAAGCATCCAATTGAAACTGCTGGTACATAATGTAATACTAGATTTTTAAAAAATATTCCAGAAGCATACAGAGTTATATCTGGAAATGCTCATTCAAATCCTAGGTGTTCTAGGAGTAGGATGCATGAGGACATAGACTCTACCTAGAAGACTGTAAATATGTAGTTTAGTGGGAACTGAGAGTAGAAAAGGGAGCTTGTACGCAAATCACAATATAAAGAATCTGCCTGCTTGCATGTTGCAAGTCAGTCCAAAGACTAGAACTATAGACCTAAGAGATAACTTTCGGAGCCACACACACTGAACATTTGGCGAATACCCTCTTTTTCTGCCCAATGAAAATAAAAATTTTGTGGCCTATTTCCAAATATAAAGGAAAGGGAATTAAATTTCTTCCATATGGCGTTGGCCAAGAGGGCAAAACTAAGTCTAATGGAAGGAAACACATTAAGATTTTGCTCCATTTAACAGCTTCAACAATTAAAACTCTGCCAATATCATGGGCTCATCCAAGTAGTAATAAGGATTCTATCCCAAGAGAAGGGAAAACAGAAGATGGAATTACACTTTTCAAAAATATCTTGGGGGAGAGTCAGGTATCAGATTGTCAGTTGAATTAGATAACCTACATCCTTCCCAGTGCTAAGATTCTGCTTTAATTTGTGTATCATCAGTCTATTCAAATCACATCATAGTTAAAAATACCTTCTTTGCCAGCTACTGGAAGCAAAAAGATAAATATTACACCTCTAGTGCCTGGTGCCTACCATATTATCTCTGCTCATTCACACACAAATCAGGCGCCTGGCTCAGCTGCTCGGCTTGTCCAGCTCTTCGAAGGAGGATGAGTCACTGTCATCACCATGTAGATATCAATTGTTTCCTTGTCGTTTACTCTAGTGATTCCTCCAAGATACACAGTGGAACTGGCCTGTGGTTTCGGAGTGACAGTGCTGCTTGTGGTGATTCTCATTGTGGTGTACCATGTTTATTGGCTGGAGATGGTCCTATTTTACCGAGCTCACTTTGGAACAGATGAAACCATTTTAGGTGAGTAATGGGAGTTTGATGTAAATCTCTTTACTGTCATCTTCAGAAAACACATTGGCTTGATAAAATCTAGATTTAATGGAACATTTAATCAGATATTTTAGTACCAAAAATGAGACTGAAATATCTCTATTAAGATATATTATTAAAATAATAGAGGTATTTTAGTCTTATTTTTGGTACTAAAAATCTTCAAACTTCAGTTTGTATTGACTCTCACACTTACAGTGTTATCTCAGTTCAGGCCAGCTGCATTTATAGTCCCCATAGCCACTTGTAGTTTGTGGCTGCTGCTCTGGACAGTGGGGGTCCACACTCTGTACTAGGGTGAGCCATGCACCAGAAGCATCAGAATTACATGAGAACTTATTAAAAGCAGAATCTTAAGCCAAACCATTATTCTGCACTAGAATCTGTATTCTAACAATATTCCTAAATTGCTCATTAAACTTTAAGGATCACTGTTCTAGGGTGTAATTTCCAGGTGACAAGAATAGAACATTTAAGTATACAGATTTTTACACCTGTCCATTAAAGATTCTCCTTCAGGAGGTTGATGGAAGAGACATAGAACCTAAGTTTTTAATGAGAGGTGATTTTTATAATTAGGCAACTTTGGGAAAGATTGGTTTATTGAATCTAAATATATTTTTAATTATAGTTATTTTCAGGTATAAATTAGACCATTTCTAAAAGATTGGTCAACTTACAATTCTAATATATTAGTGATTGACATAATAGGACAGTAGAAATTTTCTGCATGGTATTAATTTCCAGCACCTATGATTGACTTTTCACCATAGAAACTGAACTCAGTGAGATGATAGTAGAAGACACATCAGATAAAATTTGTAATTGCACCTTAAAGTAGTCATTTTGCCTGGAGACTTGTCCCAAGCAGGAAATCATACTGAAATCTGTCATATAATTCATATATGTAAAAAATGAGAATATCTAACTTGCAAAAGTTTGATTTAAGAAAAAGGTGGAATACCTTTGAGAAACTTTGCTAATTTTTATCGGATCTGTGTGTGCTTTTTCTAGATGGGAAGGAATATGATATTTATGTATCCTATGCCAGGAATGCTGAAGAAGAAGAATTTGTATTATTGACCCTCCGTGGAGTTTTGGAGAATGAATTTGGATACAAGCTGTGCATCTTTGACAGAGACAGTCTGCCTGGGGGAAGTAGGTATTCAGATGAGTACAAGTGATGCTACCCTGAAGGGCAAGAGGGATCGTTAGCTATGGGTCATGGATGAGAATCATGGCGCAGCTCTATGTTGGCATCTCTGGACATTTAATGTCCAATCATGTCATGCAATGGACAGCGACTTTCTAGGGATAAAATTTCGTTGTAAGATATAGACTACTCAAATGCAGTTTATGGTATAAAATATTTTCCCTTATAAGCTTTAAAAACTCTATTTCAGAAAAGTTTGGATGCACAGTGGATTAGAGCTGTATAAAATACCAAAGCTTTAAACACCCTCTTTACTCACATTTAGATTTTTAGAAGGTTTAGCTAATCTATATTATTTTGCCCAGAAATTTTTCTACAAAGACTGAGTTTAAACAAAACATTTTTTTACAAGGACTGAGGTTTACTCAATTTTACAAAAAATAAGTTGCAGAAAAGAGTGCATGGAATTTTTCTTTATATTAATCACTGATAATAATTAGAATATTTCCCTTTGACATTTGCTAATTTCCTTTTCCTCACTTTTGTTTTCTAGAAAGCCAACACTACTCAAACTCTCCTTTCCCTTGGGTCAGTTTCTTCCTTTCCATCAGCTTACATGTTTCAGACATAGTTTAAAACTTTACAAAGTCCAGTGTATTCTCGTAGGTTAAAAAGAAAGAAGCTTGAATTGCTGAATGTTTTAACATAAAAGTATATCTCTAATTTTCAGGTCCACCCCGTAATATATAGGGAATGGTGCATTTGAGTCTGTTTTATAAATACACAATAGCATCCCTAAACCCACTATTAATCTTTGTACTGTTAAAATTCATGCAATGTCTCTAACCTTCAGCATAGCAAACTAATTTTCTTCCCCTAAGATACTGTTTACATTACTCACTAATCACGTGTTTTCTCAAATGTCTTATAGATAATTGTGAATAGCCTCTAATAGTCTAATACAGAATAGACTTGTTTGTTCTCACGTTGAATCGGCTGGATCACTTATGTCCCCAATCATCACCCAAAAGTCCATCTTGCTTGTGTTCTGCAGCAGGTATCTCCTTCAGTATAATTTTGCCAGGAAATGATGGCTTGATTATATAGTTAAAGGATAAATTCCACTCATTTTAAGACTTAAAATCCTAAATCATTTATTCATCCATTTGTTCATTGATGTAGCCATTCAACAAATACTTATCTATCCTGCGAAAAATTATATAAAGATTTACAGTCTAACAATGATGTAAGACCCCCCCCAGTAGGGGTTAATAGTTCCTTGAAGAATTCAAGGTCCTCATAATGACTCCTGCATCCTGCTGTGATGGTTGAGCCTCGTGACCTTTCTTTTCCCTGCTGCTCTTACTGGGCCCTCTTTGCCTCTGGGTCTCTTTCTCTGCTTACACATGGTCAGCCTCCAGCAACACTGCTTGGAGTAGACGATTTCTTATTCCTGGATTCTCCTCCAGGCTGTGCATGCTATTTTAAGCCCCCCCCCCCCAACTCTGTATCTATGAAGATTAAGGAGCAAAATGATGGCTTAGGAAAGCATGGTAAGTCATGAATAGTTTTCCACAACACTAGTGCATTCCCTGGAGTTGACTCCTATCTGAACCCCAGGTGAAGGATTATACAGTCCTTGACAAGGAACCTTGAGATGGATTATTACCAAGAATTTAGTGACAGGAACTAATCAAAGCCCTTGACAACAGAATAAAATTAAGGCGCATTTCCATTTTCCTGCGCTTCCTTCTTTTCTGACCTGAAGAAAGCATTTGCCTGGTAGTGAAGGCAGACAGATCAGCCAGCAGCTGCCGAAGCACATGGCTTCATCGTAATGATAGGAGTTTAAGCAGAAAGATCCAGGGATTAATTTAGCCTCCTGAGCAGAGAGCAGAATAGAAAGCTGAGCTGAGAACATGCTGCCAGCCAAAATGCCATTAAGTTGGCTAGATGTTTTTTGAAGTTCCTATTCCAATGACATTCTAGTTGGGAGGTGTCTAGCAACAGAGAGGGACTTTCAAAAATATGAAGATTCTTGCTCTTGCTGTTCTGTGTTTGTGAAAAATTTATTTCTATGATTCAAGGCTAATGTATATATTATTGAATGCTTACTGGCCCTAGGGGTTGGTTGATACATGGGTATGGGTGGGGAGAAAGGGCTCAGGAGCTGCTTTGGATGGGACACAACATGCCACATGGTTTGAAAAAGTTTATTTCAGTGCAACCCTTCTATTCCTTAATGTCCCAAATTATGCTTTTAAAGACCAACATCATGGAAGCACATTTTGGCTTCAGTCCTGTGTGGAATGATTTTGGGGTTGGAATGTGTGCATAGTTTCTTTTCTTCCTGAGGAGAGTGGCATTTAGTGAACAACGTGAAAGGATCTAAGGATTAAGTTGTTCAGTGTTCTTGGTCAAAAGTTTCACCTCAACTCTCAGACTGATACCCTAAGTTCCCAACACCTGTTCCTCAAACCCCATGCTATTGGGGAAGTTCTTGGCCAACACTAATGCCCGTGGTGTTTTCTTTCCCAGTTGTCACAGATGAGACCTTGAGCTTCATTCAGAAAAGCAGACGCCTCCTGGTTGTCCTAAGCCCCAACTACGTGCTCCAGGGAACCCAAGCCCTCCTGGAGCTCAAGGCTGGCCTAGAAAACATGGCCTCTCGGGGAAACATCAACGTCATTTTAGTGCAGTACAAAGCTGTAAAGGAGACGAAGGTGAAAGAGCTGAAGAGGGCTAAGACGGTGCTGACGGTCATTAAATGGAAAGGGGAGAAATCCAAGTATCCACAGGGCAGGTTCTGGAAGCAGCTGCAGGTGGCCATGCCAGTGAAGAAAAGTTCCAGGTGGTCTAGAAGTGGAGAGCAGGGTCTCTCCTATTCATCCTTGAAAAATGTATGAAAGGGACAATGAAAGGGGTAAACAGATCCAAGGGTACCCCAGGGAGAAAGAGTTCCTCCTTCTTGATGCTCAGTTATTATTCCACGGACAGAAAACAATTCTATGGAAGCCTCCTCACAGGGATAAATTCAGGGTGACTATATGACTGGTTTTTGTTTTCTCAGGCAATGCTAAGATTTAGAATGATCGTGCCACCAGCCTGTCACCAGTGTCCGATGTCACTACATTCTTTGCAGGCAAAGACTTGGTTGATGTGAAATTTGTCTTCTGCATCTCTGTCCCTGTTCTTACATGCCCCCCCCCCCTCTCACTTTTACATTATAGGGATGCCTTTGGCTATGGATTGACAGAGCCCTTAAAGATAAGTCATCTGTTAACAGGGTCATCATGAGTTCCAAGTATATTTTTCTTTTTCTTTTATTGTTACTCATTCATTAGAAAGATACCAGGGTTTAAATTTACTTTAGCTGGGGATAATGAGCTCTTCTGCCCATTCTGTTGTGCCACACACCGTCACAGCAAGACCGACACCCACTTGGACGGTAAAGAGCAGTATTACTGAAAATGTTCATTATCATTGATTTAAGGGACTTGCCTGCATTTTCTCCTCCTACACCCCCAGTGCCCTCTATCTCAGGTAATTGATGTCCTATTTGTCAACTTGAACAATGTAATTTTTATATTATGGTAAACTTCGGAATACCTGTAGGTTGGCCCATAGTTGTCATTCCATCCCCCCATCTACTGTAACTTGTTTGTATTGGCCACTCAGAGTTTACAGGTGGCTCCGCACTTGGTTCAGTCTGATAGGAAGCTTCTCCTAATGGTGCTAATAGAGTGAAATAATAGCAAAATGCTTTTAGGGCATTTTCTGGCTTGTGAGAAAAGAGCAGAACAGCGTGTTTGGCCATTTGTCTTGTAATCTCAGCCTTACTAATGTGAATATTAGAAAAGTGATTTCTCCTCACTTCTTTCTGACTCTCCATTGTAAAAAGTGTGGAAGTTAGACTCAGTGACCTTGAGAGCTGCCTTTAGCCTTAATATTCTAAGAGAATTAACTAACCCCCTAGTATCCTCCCTATTTTATTCACTGCTACAGTTAATACACTCACTCCAAACATGTCAGCTGAAAGATCACTGTCAATGTAACTTGTTTTAGTTTGTTTTTAGTAAAGTTTCACTGTTCTTAAGACTTGGAAAAGTGAAAACTAAGTCTAGAGTTTACAGAGTGATAAATATCTACATATACATGTGTATATACATTTACATATACACACAAAAATTATATATATGTGTATCTATTGCATAGAAATATATGTGAATTATATATGTATATATACATATATATACATGAATTATATTTGTATGTATATATATACACATATATACATGCATATAACTTTAAATGATCATTAGCTCAATATTATAAGCCACTGGAACTGCTGTCCAGTCTTTAAATTATGTTTTTACTGTAATATTTTTGCATCAGTGTTTTCTACGCATTAATATGATTTGTGAATTCACAGATCACAGAGTGGTAGCTGTTGCTTTTCCTAAATTGGTATGAATAACTTACTTCTGCTACAGTTGGTCTGGATGCAATGGAACCTGTTGAGCACAGAGCTTCCATGGTCACTGCTAAGCAGTAGCCAGCCCTCTGGCATTAGCTGATCATCTACTATGCTTTGGGCACACACACTTAACTGAGTTATGTGAATCTCAGTGCTCAACTACTGGGGAGATAAATCTCTATTTGGACTGTAGAGTAATAAAGGAAAGAAAATAAAATGCCTATAAATGAGCCTGCGTATCCTAGGAAACATCATAATTCATAATTTAAGGAAATTCATATCCAGTAGTATGAATGTTGTTAAGCAATTCTAAAACTATCTCTTACGCTTAAAAGTCCTTCAGCAGTATTAAAGTATATAATGAGTCATTTCTTTATAGGAAAGTTATTGATTATTTTAAATTGAATAAAAGCATGACTTCTTGACTATAAAACTATTTTAGAAGTCATTCTCTGGTCTAACTTTATTAGCCTTATTAATGCTTTTCCTTGTTACAAACCACCAGTTACTCCCCCTAACAATCCTTCACTCACCAGGGGAGACCTGACTCCAGATAAGCTTTGTATATCGAATTCTTGCACAACCTTTAGGTAAATGGGGGGCAGTCCCATCACCAAGGGTCCATTCTCTTGCCAATACTGCGTTCTTTTTGCACTTTTGAATTCCATATTTATCCTAACTACTGTTGCATGCCCCTAGAGACTTCTTGACATTTTTTTTCCTATTTATATTCTTGTCTTTGGTACTGAACTTTTCCAAATGCTAAGATCAAAAGCATCTCAAATTTACATGATATGTCTCATCCTAAGAGAATTTTTTTCAAGATTTTTTTGTTTGTTTTATGTCCCGGAAGATGCCTAATACAGAATATTTGAGGGAGATGGGGAAATATAATTTAGAGAGCAGGAAGAAATTGCTCTCTCATGTTAAAAAAAATAAAACATCTCTAATTTTTTTTTTTTTTAAATCCCTTAATGGTTTGAGGTATGCAATATAAAGACCTTCTGCACCCAAGTTAACAAAGAACCATGATATATCGAGTGTCTAATTACACAATCATAAAATTTATTTAATTCTCTTCTGTACTGTAACTTAGATGATTCCCTAGGATTCTAATAAACAAGTATTCCATTGTATTGGGGAACAAAAGCATCACTCCACTTGTTAATTACCCATTATCTTTCCATAGGTTTTAATATTTTAAGATTATCTTTTTTATTTTATTCATAAACTTTTGTATTTTTCATTTTTCATTTGGTTTGTAAATTTATTTTAAAAATAAACCATTTATTTTCAGCTTTGAATTTTATTTTGTGCATGTGTTTTATGTCTTTATTTTCATGTTTGGGCATAAGAAATGAGAATAAAAAGAATGATACATATAAAAAATGTTATTGTTATAAGTTACACTAGTTAGGTTTCTCTTTCTGAGAGAAATCTGAGAAAAATGGGAACTTCATCTCAAGAACATTTTCTTTACATGCAAGTAAGAATTACTTAAGTAAAATGGATTGTACTGGTATTCCAGTGGGTGTGTGTGTGTGTGTGTGTGTGTGTGTGTGTGTGTGTTTAGAGAGACAGAGAAAGAGGAAGAGGGGGGAGGGAGGGAAAGAGAGAGATTCTTTTAAAACAAAGACAGTCTGTCCCTTTTTGTTCAACTTGGAACTTGGGTAGCTTACAGGAATCTCTTACCTTTTATAGGCTTTAATGCAACCCCAAGGCAGTTGCTTTAGAATGAAATCAATTAATAGTCTCCTTTTAGTTAATAGATGATAATTTGCATGAATGAATAAAAAATGCATTTTTTACCACAAGTTTCAAATAAATCAGATAAATATTTGGAAATACATTTTCTTTTGAATTAATAATATTAAGTTCGTAATGACAGGAAAGCCTTCTTTCTTAAATTGCTTTTCCTATTCACTTATTCTAAGAATATTTATTGCATTCATATAACTGAACTGTGTAGATTAGTAAAAATTTTCCTGCTGAAGAACTTTTCATTCTCAAGGCTATTTCCAAAGAGTAGACTTAGGATCAATGGATGGGGATTACATGGAAACAGATTTCTACTCAATTAGGAATTACTTAAGTAAAATGGATTGTACAACTCTACTCAAAGCAGAGTTGAACAATAATGTATTTCACTATCTTTGGAGATACTAAGCTCCCATTACTAGAGTTGCACAAGCAGAGATTAGATGAATATTATTAAGATGTTGTATATAGGTTTTCCACATTGGATAAATGCCAAGTCTGAAGTTTCTTCTAATGCTGGACATATTAAATGACCTCCTAGAACAGGGGTGGGGAACATCTGGCTGTTGGGGCGTCTGAGGCCTCCAAAATCATTTGGTCTGGCCCTGCCAAGGCAACCACAGTCAGGACTCAAAATTCAATAAATCTAAGAGTTTTTTCATAGCTAATTTTTAAGGTGATAATTTTGTATGGCCCGACAATGATGTTATAAGTATCCAAATGGCCCTTGGCAGAAAAAAGTTTCCCTACCCCTGTGGAACATAGTGGTGACTATTTAGTTTCAATAACAACAGTTTTAATATCAGTGGTTTGGTCATCGTGGTTACCTGGCTATTACTGACCTTATTAAAATGCTCAAGATACTTTCTTCAGTCATTCACTGATGCCAGCAGGTCTTTGAAACAAGTAAAGTCACTGTATGATAGAAGAGACATACTCAACAACCAGTATGTCTTATTTCTCTGCTTCTACCCAAGGGATATGAAGTATTTTTAACAATGAGTTAGGATATTAAGTGTTTCAGTAATATATTTTATCCATATGTATTTTAAACTGAATAGACAGAATTTTTTAAATGTATGACTCATAAATTCACATACTAGGTTGATTCTCTAAAGTTATAAAAAACTGACTCAGATTCAATTAACATTAGTCCATACCTTATTTTAATATTGTATTTGCTAGACATTTACATTGAGGTATCTCTAATTTGTTTAACAACTCTTCAGATTTTCTCTCACTTTATGTATTTTATAGATGGATAATTTCATAGTTAAAATATTAAGATAACAGATAACTGGAGAAAGCAATATTTAAATTCAGATCTATCTTCCAAATTAGGTGCCTCCCCCCTATTTTTTACTACACTTCAAGTTTTAAGGAAGAGAGAAGGGGCGGGGCTTGTTACTCTTTCATACACCAATAACCTAGCCAAAGAACAAAACTGCAGCCCTAGGTTAACGGTAGCGGAATTTCAGAGAGCCTATGAATTTTAAGGGCAGGAATCTTCTGCCTCGACAAGTTCTAGACCACAAAATGATTTGAAAAGCAACTTAGTATCACACAAAAAACAAATCTCATCATTCTATAGCCACAGCTCATATTTTTGAACCAAACAGAATAAAGAACTAATTTATGACTCCCTCTCCAAATAATCTTCAGCATTAAAATCATAATAACTTGCATCCTCAGATATGAAGTTTGACAATATGTAAGACATTAAAATATGCTATAAAGGATACAGCTTTTTTCAAAGTACTTTGTGAAGACCACAAAGCATAGATAGCCCAACCCCACCTGAGAAGCCTCTCCTACATTCATTCCTCAAAGTCTGGAATTTCACCATAGGTAAAGATTTCTTTAGCATTGCCCTCTTTCAAATGCAAATTCCATGCTTTTCAGGTAAAATGCTAATCATTTTTTTAAAAAAACCACATGCTCTTTGTTTTAGAGGACCTAGAATACTGTTTTGTTCTCAACAGTGGTATCACCAGGGGCTATTTTGAAGTGAAAAACACACACATCATTTCAGTGCCCAAGTTCCTTGCAATGAAAACCTCCCCAGTCGTTTGAAAGGTACACTGTGTTTACCACGAGACAGGACAAGCAGCAGACTCCCTATGCTCACATCCTCAGGTCTATGAAAGGCAGCCACAGAAGATTCTGAGCAGGACCGGGCAGGACAAAGGAGTTTACAAAACAGGCATGCACATGACACAGGCTTTCAGGAACATTTAGATTTCTCTGTGAAGATCAGAACAAGAATTCTCTGAAACACTGCTCTCTTGATAAAACCAGTTCAAAGTTCTTAAAAATTGCTATCCCAATGTCCCTTCAAAATCAGATTAAATTCACTAACAGGAAAGAACTAATCTGGTAAGCAACATAGCTCCTTCATTCCGGTTAAACTCACAATGATCGCCCTGGCCAGTTTGGCTCAGTGGTTAGAGCGCCGGCCCTCGGACTAAAAGGTCCCAGGTTCGATTCCGGCCAAGGGCGTGGACCTCGATTGCAGGCTCGATCTCCGGCCCCGGCCCCGGCCCCAGTCAGGGCAAGTGAGGGAGGTAGCCAACCCATGTGNCAGGCTCGATCTCCGGCCCCGGCCCCGGCCCCAGTCAGGGCAAGTGAGGGAGGCAGCCAACCCATGTGTCTCTCACATCGATGTTTCTCTCTCTCTCCCCCTTCCACTCTGAAAAGCAATGGAAAAATATCCTCGAGTGAAGATTAAAAACAATTCATAACGACCAATTTCATTGCAAACGTGCAGCCTGTCCGCACAGGCTGGAAATCTCTAGGTCACTATTTCACTATTTCACCCCGACCCCAAAAGCGTAGGTACTCGGCCTCACGGTGTGTCTTTGGCACCTGTTTTAGAGGTGACAGTGGCTGTGATTTATACATTTGGAATTCTCTTCCTCCTGAAAATAACATTGTTTAAGCTCCTAAACCTAATAGTGAGTTAAGCACTGCACTTATC